ATCCCCAAGCACATTATTTCCTTTATAAAAGTTAAATTCAGAACCACCCATTTCATGCAGCAGTTGAGATGCCGCTTGGGACACCTGCATTCCATATTGGAGTACACGGGTTTGAGTCCCAGCTCTGCTGCAGACTCCAGCTTCCTGCTAATGTGCACCCTGGGAGGCAGCAGATGATGGTTTATGTAGTTGGATCCTTGCCACCTGTGTGGTGGACCAGGACTGAATTCCAGCTCCCATCTTTGACCTACCACTGTGGTTATGCAGTGAACCAGCAGATGGGAGATTCCCTATCTCCCTCTCCTCTCTCCCCACTCCATGTCTATCTCACTGCTTTTCAAGTAATAAAATAAAATTTTTTAAAGGGTGTCCTAACAAAACTGATTTATGAAAATAAATGTTAGCCGGCTCCGCGGCTCACTAGGCTAATCCTCCGCCTTGCGGCGCCGGCACACCGGGTTCTAATCCCGGTTGGGGCGCCGGATTTTGTCCCGGTTGCCCCTCTTCCAGGCCAGCTCTCTGCTGTGGCCCGGGAGTGCAGTGGAGGATGGCCCAAGTGCTTGGGCCCTGCACCCCATGGGAGACCAGGAAAAGCACCTGGCTCCTGCCTTCAGATCAGCGTGGTGCGCCGGCCGCAGCGCGCTGGCCACGGCGGTCATTGGAGGGTGAACCAACGGGAAAAGGAAGACCTTTCTCTCTGTCTCTCTCTCTCACTGTCCACTCTGCCTGTCAAAAAAAAAAAAAAATGTTATATTTCGGTTGAGGAAAACAGTATTCTTTTTTGAAAGATTACATATTTACAGGTTAACAGATCAAATACTGGGATCTTATAAGCTTTTCTGTTTGAACTATTTTTAAAGCCATTTCTCCATAAGACAGGAAACATTGTAGCCACTTAGTGCAACTTCCATTAAGTAAAACTCGCTGAAAAGGGCAAATTACTTTGGAACATTAAAAAATATAAACTGTTGGCCTTAACTAGGTCCAGCAGGCTTTTCTCACTTTCTCTGTCTCTGCAAGTAACATGCTTAAATTTAATTTAACCCCAGAGCCTGTGTCAGGAACTCCTGAGATCTGTATTTAATCAACCTCCCAAATCTGCTCTATATGCCAAATTCTTCCAGCTTTCTCAAAAGGCACCCGTACCCTATCCTTGGAGTCTTTCCAGAAATAAGCACTCACGGATGACTAAGAGCCTTGGCAAACACCTGGCTAGAAAACAACGCCATGCTGTCATCTCCCAACTGAGGAGTAAGAGATTTGGCCGGGAAACTCATAAAAGTTAGTTTTCCAAACCAGAAGATGGTTTTCCCTCAAATAGCTTCTTACTTCCCACACATTAAATGTGCAAATCAAGATGTAGCCATTTATAATAATCAAAACTCTATATGGGAAGAAATACAGCTTCATGTATCAAAGAACAAGAGGAAAGTCCTATCACATGCTTCTGGCTTTACAGCATGAAAAAAATCCAGAATTTCTTTAATGAGTCTAACAGATACCGCATTTTAGAAACACAAGCACCACAATAGAGCCTACTATATACTAGGTATCACGCTAGACACCTAATATATATTCATTAACTCTTTTTATACCAAATAGCAAAATAAGAATTTGCATCGTACACATTTTAATATGCTCAGAGAGGTGAAGTCACTTACCCGAGGTTACACACTGAGCATGGTGAGCCAGCATGTAAAAATCCACCTGCCTCCCACAGCTATACTACCCCTTCCACTCCCTACTACCTCAGTGGTCTGGTAGCTTTAACTAACTGACAGTTCATGTCTAAGGACTCTAAGTTCTAATGTCATTATCTGTTAGCTCCTAACACTCATGTCTTTGCAGCAATTTCAGGTTAAAATGTAGCGACAGGGGTGGGCATTTGTTGCAGTAGTCAAGATGCCACTTGGGATGCCTGCTTCACATTTCAGAATGCTTGTCCTGGCTCCATTCCCAATTCCAGCTTCCTGTTAATGCAATCCTGGAAGGTAGCAGGGAATGATGGCTCAAATAGTTTGGTCCTTACCACCTATACAGGAAACTTAAACTAAGCTACCAGATCCAGGAATTTGAAGGGTGAATCAGTACATGGGAGAGATGTATATGTGTGTCTGTGTGTCTGTGTGTGTGCCTACTTTTCATCATTCCTACTCATTATCATCTGGAAAGTTCTAGCTAATTCAATAAGAAAAGGAAATTCAAAAGTATACAGATTTAGGGGTCAGCACTGTGGTGCAGTTGGGTTAAAGCCACAGCCTGCAGCGCTGCCATCACATAGAGGCGCTGTTTAGAGTCCCAGCTGCTCCACTTCCGATCCAGCTCCCCACTAATGCTCCTGGGAAGGCAATGGAAGATGGCCCAAATCCTCGGGCCCCTGCACCCACGAGGGAGACCCAAAGGAAGCTCCTGGCTCCTGACTTCAGGCTGGCCCAGCTCCAGCCTTTGGGGCCATTTTGGGAGTGAACCAGTGGATGGAAGATCTCTCTCTCTCTCTCTCTCTCTCTGCTTCTCCTCTGTAACTCTGTAACTCTTTCAAATAAATAAATAAATCTTAAAAAAAAAAAAGAAAGAAAGAAAGAAAAAGAAAAACTCTGCTTTGTGAAAAGGAGTTAAGAGAATGAAAAGACAAGTCACAGACTGGGAGCAAATCTTTGGCAAATAGATATATCCAAAATATACAAAGAACACTTGAAAGCCAACAATAGGAAAACAATCAAATTTAAAAATGGGTAAAAGATCTGAACACCTCACCAACGAAGATGTATATGTAGCAAATAAGCATATGAAAAGATGCTTAACATCATGTGTCATCAGAAAATTACTAATTAAAACAACAATAAGTTGACACTCCATACCTATTAAAAAGCAAGGATGCCAAGTAACAGGCCAGCGCTGTGGTGTAGTGGGTAAAGCCTGCAGTGCCAGCATCCCATATGGGCACTATTTCATGTCCTGGCTGCTCCACTTCCGATCCAACTCTCTGCTATGGCCCGGGAAAGCAGTAGAAGATGACCCAAGTCCTTGGGCCCCTGCACTCACGTGGGAGACCAGAAGAAGCTCCTGGCTCCTGGCTTCGGAACGGCGCAGCTCCAGCTGTTGTGGCCAATTGCAGAGTGAACCAGTGGATGGAAGACCTCTCTCTCTCTCTCTCTCTGCATAACTCTTTCAAATAAATAAATAAATAAATAAAACAGGAACTCTCATTCACTGCTGGTAGAAAACACAAAATTATACCTCTAATTTGACAGTTTGGCAGTTTCTAAAAAGCTAAACATAGATTAACTATATGACTCTATCTATATTAGTGTTCTTCGGTATTTACTCAAATGAGCTGAAAACTTACATCCACATAAAAACCTTACCCAAATGAACTGAAAACAAAACTAACACACAAATGTTTACAGCAGCTTTATTCAGAATTGCCAAAACTTGGAAGCCATCAGGATGCCCTTCAATAGGTGAATGGATAAACAAGCTGCAGCTTACAATGGAAATATTTCATGCTAAAAATGGCATAGCAAGGCCAAATACTTGGGAGGAATTGTAAATGCACACAGCTAAGTGACAGGAGTCAGTCTGCAAAGGCTACATACTGCATAATTCCAACTACATGACACATCAATAAATGCGAAACGATGAAGACAGTAAAAAGATCAGTGCTTGCTAGGGGTTCGGAGAGTGGGGAGGAGGGATGAATAGACATAGGACATTACTAAGGCAGTGAAACTATTTTGTATGATATAATGGTAGATGCAACATCGTGTATTTGTCAAAATCCACAGAACTATACCACACAAGTGAGCCCTAAAGGACTTCAGTTCATACTAATAATCAAAACTATCATTCATCAGTTATAACAAATGTAAAAATTATAATATAGTATTTTGAATGTATAGTACACTTAAAGGAGAAACTGTAAGAGTAAGAGAGAGAAGAGGTGAGGTATATGGAAACTCAGCACTTTGAGAAATTTTTCCATAAATCTCAAATTTCTCTAAAAAGTCAAATTTATAAAAAATTCTCATACTTCCTAAATGTATATACCAATAACATAAACGACAATGTATAATACACAGTCTAAAACATAGGAAGAAAAGAGGCATGAAGGCCAGTTTTGTGACATAGCAGATTAAGTCCCCACTTGTGATCCTGTATTAGAGCAGGCTAAAGTCCTGGCTACTCCATTTCTGATCTAGTTCCCTGCTTAATGCACCTAGGAAAGCAGGGGATGGCCCAAGTACTTGGGCCCGTGCCACCCACATGGGCAACCAAGATGGAGTTCCTGACTCTTGACTTTGGCCTGGCCCAGCCCAGTCCCAGCCATTTGGGAACTAAACCAGCAGATGGAATACATTTCTCTTTCTCTCTGTCTCTCCCCTCTTCCTTCTTTCCCTCACTCTGTCTCTCCCTCCCTCCCTTCTTCCCTCTCTCTTTGTAACTCTGCCTTTCAAATACATAAATACATCTTTAAAATTAAAAAAAAAGAACCAAGAATAGCACAATTTACACATAATCAATACCTTTGCATCCCCCTATCTATAACATTCAGTACTCAACTGAGGGATCTAAGAGAAGTGAGAGCATTTACACAAAACCAAAAGCTCATAGTTGGAACAAACTATAGATCAACCACCAATTCACTGCACCACATATGCATTCCATATTGGAATGCTGGTTCGAGTCCCAATCCAGATCCCTGCTAATGTGCCTGGGAAAGCAGTGGATGATGGCCTGAATACTCAGGTCCCTGCCATCCATGTAGAAAACACAGATAAAGTTCCAGGCTCCTGGCTTTAGCTTGGTCCAGCTGTGGATATAGCGGTCATTTGGGGAGTGAACTAGTGAATGAAAAATCTCTCCGTCACTCTGCCTTTCAAATAAGTAAATAAATAAATCTAAAAGAAAAAAATGTTAACAGCTAGGACAATATAAATCACAATCTAAAACTGTAGGCAAATTATATTAACCCCTAATAATATCACCTCTAATAACCTTACACTAAGAAGAGCTCCTGAAAGTGCTTGTTCCCTCCATTTAACTTCCTCTGACTCCAGTTTAAATGGTCAGTCACATTCTCAGCGCAGGTTAAACCACGTCCCTCTCAGGTTTCCCAGCCCAGGTCACACATGCTGAGCTTTGTGACATCCCTGAAATGTCATTAAAGCAGCTATCAACTTGAGTGTCAGGAGTGCTGAGCATCAGGATCTGATGTACCCATTAACAGAATGGAGGAGGAAAGCTGTATGTTCTTTAGATAAGAAATACTTGATGAGGGGCAGGCACTGAGGCACAGAGAGTTAAGTTGCAGCTTGCGCCACCTATATCCCATATCGGGGTATCTAAAACTGAACCTCACCTCTGCTTCTGATCCAGTTTCCTGCTAAAGCACCCAAGAGACAGCGGATGATGGCTCAAGTACTTGGGTCCCTACCATCCACGTAGGAGACTCAGATGGATTTCCTGGCTCTTGGCTTTGGCCCAGACCAACCCTGGCTGTGTAGAAGTTTGGGAAGTGTACTAGCAGATGGAAGATCTTTCTTTGTATTTCTCTGTCACTCTGCCTCTCAAATAAATAAATAAATAAATATAACTTTTTGAAAAGCATTATCATTTAAAAATAAACATGATTCAAAATTCATTTATGATTAAAAAACCTTCTCAATTAATGTCAATATTACATTAAGTGAAATAGCCAAGTTGCAGATTTTGTATCATTAAAACAAAAATGGGGACAGGTGCTATGGCACAGCAGGTTAAGCTGCCACTTGGGACACCAGCAACCATATGTAAGGAGCCAGGAGCCAAGAACTCTATTTGGGTCTGCCATGTGGATACCAGGAACCCAAGGACTTGTGCCATTATCTACTACCTCCCAGGCACATTAGCAGAAAGCTGGATAGAAGTGGAGGTAGGACTTTATCTCAAGCACTCTGATATGGGATGCCAGTGTCCCAAGTGACGGCTGAACATGCTGTACCACAATGCCTGTCCCTTAACATTTTCTAAATGATATTTTTATCTTATAAAGGTTAGACTCAAGGCACTCCTAAACTTGGTTCACTTAATTTCATATCAAGGACAAAGAAAAGACTCTAAGAACCATCAGGAAAAGAAGTCTCAATTATATGGACTGATGCCAATTAGAACAGCTCTCATTTCTATTTTTTGCTTCAAATTCTCATCCTTATCTTGTCACATGCAAACTCCCACAGATACCTCAAGGATAAAGGTCATACCAAGGATTCTGCCCTGAATATTCTGCACAGACTAAAAACAATTTATGGGAGAAACCATGTGAAACAACACATTCCAGGCTTCCTGGATCTGTCTTCAGGTCAGTGAACTGCATTGGTCAGCACAGAGTGGTCAGCAAGATGAGGAACGTATAATTAATCTTTTCATTATCTTCTGAATTGAAGGGCAGTTGTTTTCCAGAGTTCACTATGTAGAATCTCAACTTTAGAGAAACAAAGTACTCATCAGACAGTGCAAAATACCCTCTGTTCTTAAGTCTACAAAGCTGCCTATCTTGCAACTATTCTTGGCCTGAAAGACAAGTGAGCAGTCCCTGAGAAGCCAGCTCTGGGACTGGGAGCCTCAGTAGCCATCTAACCAGACCCAAGACAACTGATACCCATTGTGCTTGCACCACAGCACTTCCTCCAAAGTCTGGTCGAATGGCTTCAGACACTGCCTGTGAGTGCTAGCAGCAGCAATCGTATTCCTTAGATAAGCAAGATGTGAAAATGAAAAGGCCTCAGAAATAGAAAATGCTCCTGACTCTTCAAGCCTGCTGTGGCTGATTTTTGCACCATCATCTACTTTGCTGATATTTCTTCTAAGCAGAATGTGGAAACCATTAACATACCACGTGAATAAATGAAAAGCATTAACTGTCCTTAGCATATTTCCAAATACATTTTATATCCAGTTGCTTGAAAGGAAATCACAGAAGGCAACTAAATACTTCACCATAGTGCATATCCTAACCCTGCTAAAACTGCATTAATTCACAACAAAAATATTTACCAAATGAATATTGTAACTTAGATGTCCAATGAATCAACAAGATCTGTAAGCAAATTCCACAAATCTGATTAAATGTACAGGATCAAATGAAGTATGTTTGTTAAGCATACTTGTGAAATCGCTGCTGTGACGCTTCCGGAGGGACTCCACCACCCTGTCTGCAGGAGGCATACATTCTGCCTAGCTCCAGCCTGCAAGGGCTCCCTATACAGTTATGCCAGTGACTGGTCTGTAAGTCTGTCTACTCCAGACAGCAGATGTTAGAGAGCTTTTCTGGCAACAGATCAAAGTTACAACAGTCAATTTTATTGGCAATAAAAGTGGTATTTCAGAGGTGGTACTCTGGTCTAGCAGGTCAGTGCCACCCACACCTTCTATCAGAGTGCCTGAGTTGGAGTTCTAGCTTTGCTCCTGATTCCAGATTCTTGCTAAATCACACCCTGGAAGGCAGTAAGTGATGGGTCAAGTAGTTGGGGCCCTCCAATCCACATGACAGACCTGGACTGAATTCCAAGCCAGTGTCTTTGCTTTGACCCAGTCCTGGCTATTGCAGGCATTGGAGAAATAAATTAGTTGCTCTCTTTCTCTGTCTCTCAAATAAATAAAATAAAACTTGATACTTTTCATCCATCTGAATCTGTATTTCACTCTTTGTTCAATTATTTCAGAAACAATAGGGGTATTGTTTAACTCTCTTAAACCCTATAAAAGCTGCCTCCAAAGAGCCTAAAATTATTGTTCTAAGCTCTTATATAATACAAAACCAAATGTTTTCAGAGCAAAAGGTCACAATTCTTAAGACAACCAGTGAATACTCTAATGCTGTAACTATTTATGATACACTTGTTTTTTTTTATGACTCTTCCAAACTTAGAATAAAACAAAAAACAAACAAAAATATTGTAGGAATCACTGGAGTATCCCACAAATAAAATAAATAAATAAATGTAAAAGACAAAAATTCAAATGTGACTGAAACAGATTTCTGAAGGGCAGACTGAAAAAATGACTGTAAGGTTATGTGATCAGCACAGGGCCATGGCCATAACTGGCACATGACAAACAAATTTATCCACTGAGTAGCAGGACCATTTGGGTCAGGGCAGGGCCAACGACACAGGAGCAATTTTGCCCCTCTCCTTTAAGGAAAGGACAGCTCTCTTTGGAAGACGATACTAGAGACTCCCCCACCTCTTATTTCAAAAGGGCCTAAATAAGATTAATTTTAGGGTCATTTGAACAGGCCTAAAAAGGACTGTTTGCAATCTGCTTGATGCCTGAAATTTTTCTAAGGAAAAGGAAAGCCTTTTAAACTGCAATTAGAAATAAATGGCTTAAAAAAAAAAAAAAGAAAGAAATGGCTTAACATATGATTTAAAACGCATGAGAAGTAATGCATTTGCTTTGAATGCATTTTATTTAATTATGAATAAATGACATGTCAGACCCTTCCCAGCTTTGATGGAGGGAAGAAAAAAACAGGTCACTAGGCACCCTAAGTGGAAAAGAGGTTTCTACAGAGGGAGGTGTGGGGTGGGAGAAAAAAATGCAGAAACCATCACTTAAAATGATGATGTGTTAGGAAACTGAATGACCAGAAACAGGGTCCATGATATGCAAGGGACCATGTCATACAACAGATGCTCATGACCTTGTCCTAACAAGTTTCTCCATCATAGACACTATTACCAGAGTCTGGTCATTACTAACCCACCCCAAACCTTTGGCCTTTAAGAATGAGGTCAAAATGACACAGTAAAGGATGTGACACCTTATGTTAGCCAGACAAAGCTTTTTTCCATACCTTAGTATCTTGGTTACTCTTTTATACCCCATTTAAAAAAAAAAAAAAAGATTTATTTGTTTATTTGAAAGACAGAGTTACAGAGATAGAGGGAGAAAGAGAGAGATCAATCTTCCATCCCCTGGTTTACTCCCTAGATGGCCAGGGCAGGGCCAGGCCAAAGCCAGCACCCAGGGGTGGTTTCCAGGCACTTGGGTTGTCCTCTGCTGCTTTCCCAGGAGCATTAGCAGGAGCCAGGGCTCATATTGCACCCACATGGGATACTGGTGTTGCAGGCAGTGGCTTAATCTGCTACAACACAAGCACTGACCCTCAGCACCCATTAAATCGCTGAAATTTAGCTTTTCTCCAAACATGGACAGCTCATTCTGCCTTTCTCTCTACTCTTCTCCTGTTTCATGCTTCATTCTCCTCTTTCTTCACAAGCTACAGCTCCACGCTACTTCTCTGACCTCCCATTCACAGTAACCAGGCCTACAATGTGTTGGGCACTCTGCCAAGGGCTTTTTCCTGTACTAAAGGAGTCCCCACCTTGTCCATGAGGAATATGTTCCAAGACCCCCAGTGGATGCCTGAAATCATGGATAGTACTGAACTCCATGTATCTTATGCTTTCTCCTATACATACATACCTATGAGAAAGTTTAACTTATAAGTTAGGCATAGTAAGAGATTAACAATAATAAAACAAGCTATAATAATATACTGTAACAAAAGTTACTTAAAACTTAGGGATTGTTGATTTACGGAATTTTTCATTTAAATTTTTTTTTGTTTTTTTTTTGGACAGGCAGAGTGGACAGTGAGAGAGAGAGACAGAGAGAAAGGTCTTCCTTTTCCGTTGGTTCACCCTCCAATGACCGCCGTGGCCAGCGCGCTGCGACCGGCGCACCGCACTGATCCGATGGCAGGAGCCAGGTGCTTCTCCTGGTCTCCCATGGGGTGCAGGGCCCAAGCACTTGGGCCATCCTCCACTGCACTCCCTGGCCACAGCAGAGAGCTGGCCTGGAAGACAGGCAACTAGGACAGAATCCAGAGCCCCGACCGGGACTAGAACCCGGTGTGCTGGCACCGCAAGGCGGAGGATTAGCCTAGCGAGACGCGGTGCCGGCCCCATTTAATATTTTTAGGCTGAGGTTAATACAGGTAACTGAAACCACTGAAAGTAAAACTGAAGGGGGGACTCCTGTATATTATTTAATACTCACCCTGGTTGCCCCTCTTCCAGACCAGCTCTCTGCTGTGGCCAGGGAGTGCAGTGGAGGATGGCCCAAGTGCTTGGGCCCCTGCACCCCATGGGAGACCAGGAGAAGTACCTGGCTCCTGCCATCAGATCAGCGCAGTGCGCCGGCCGCGGCAGCCATTAGAGGGTAAACCAACGGCAAAGGAAGACCTTTCTCTCTCTCTCTCTCACTGTCCACTCTGCCTGTCAAAAAAAAAAAAAAATACTCACAACTACCTTGTGAAATAGGTATTTATTATCCCCATTTACAAGAAGAAACAGTCTTAGAAAAATAACTCATCCAAAAGTCTTGCAATAAAAAGTACAGTCATACATTGCTTAACAATGGGGATACATTCTGAGAAACACATTGTTAGGTCTGAGTTTGTCACTGTGCAAACCTCACACAGTATTACACAAACCCAGATGGTACAGACCAACCACTGGACTTGGCCTCTTGAGGTAATCAAGAGATGTAAACAAGATACGCTGCAACTCAGCATAACATTTACAGTTAAAACTTTCCTTTTGCTTTTCAAAAAATGTATTTATTTAA